TGTGGGAAGATTTGCATAACACCGCCCAAATGTTCACGCAAAGAAAGAAGGCGTAACTTTGATTCTCGCTGTAATATTGTTGCTGCCGCCGCCATGTTGTGGAGACACTGTGTGTCTTTGTTTGGCCTCCCAAAAGAGGACACAACTACAAATCAGTGGTTAAGTTGTATTTACAACACTGTTCCAGAACAGTTCAACCCAAATATTCAGATGTGTGCAGCGCATTTTACGGAGGACGAGGACTGTTTCCTGAACCAGTAGCCTACAATGCTTCTGTGCACAAAGGCTGTTTCTATAAAGTGGGGCAATTCCAACTTTGCAAGGACAGTCTGGCGCTTCTGACTCACAGACTGTAAGTAAGTTTTTTATATTTAAATAATTTGCCACTGACGATTCAAAGTTTTTTTGAACCTTAAACCGCATAAACACATTGCATTACACCAAATACACAAAATAATGTTCTTTTTAGCAACGTCATATGACCCCTTTAACTTCCTACGCCACTACCGATGTTATTTGATAACCCTCATTTTTTTTATATGTTGTCTATCCCAATGACACGTTGATGGGTAGGGTTAGTGTAAATAGTCTCTGCCAACAAGGCGGGCTATTTGCACTTACTGTAAATACAGTAGACATATACATACTTGTGTGATAGTTAACAAAAAACTTGTATACTGGAATCAAATGTTTTGTGTGTGTTAATTCATCCTTTGAAGCAAACAGTGTCTGCTGTATCTTACCTACTGTAAGAAATGTCAAATTCAATCCAAAAATCTTCGTTAGCAACATTATTCCATTAGCTGACCAAATTATTTTACCAAAGACTATAGAATACTTTGAGTTTACTTTCAGGGCAAAACCAATTATACCTTTACTTTGATGTCGCTGCCAATAATGCCTAAACCGGTTTCTTTACAGCTGAGGACAATGAATGTACATGAATGTAGAACAAAGATCATGAACACAACAAAAGTGACAATAAAAAAAAACTGGCGTGGTTACAGTTTATTTTAAAATGTACTTATTAGTAATTTTTCAGTTATTCAAAGTTTAATCACTAAACCTTTCATTCAAAGATGATTTCCTTGAAGATTTTTTTCAATTCAAAAGAATATGCAATTGAAACAATTAGAGAACTTGTATTTTAATCTTACAAAAAAAAGAAAAAAGAAACAAAGAAAAAAAAGAAAAAAAATAAAGAAAAAGAAAAGAAAATCATTCCTAAATATTCCATATTTTTGCAGCCTGCAGCTCTGTGTACATCCTAAAAACAAAATAAGACTATTTCTTTCATACTCATCATACAGACAGGTGATTTACTGTCTGATGTGACTAATATATGATTACCAATATACGCAAATGGAATAAATACAGCATTTAGCATCCAAGTAGTAGACAAGCATTTCAAAAAACGAAGCATTACAAATTTTTAAAACAATTGTTCTCTACCTATTTTAACATGTTACCTCATCATATTTTAAAAAGATAAGATAAGAAAGACCGAGTGTAAATATACATTTGTTTTAAGTGCTGAAAAAAATTTGAGAAGTAAATTAATGGCTTGCTTACTCTTTCTAGCGCTCCTGTTTCTGTCATACAAAAGTAAAAGTGGGTGTTGTGGCGAGGGGGCGTGGTTCAGCGAGGTCTGCAGCGGGAGAGAGAGTTGGGAGACGAGCAATGAGTAAGTGTTGAGTAAGGTCAAATGCAAATGACAAACATGCAAATGCAAAAAAAAGCAAATGTCTTGTTCCAGTAATTGGCGTGGAGAGACCGCATAAAGAGGCCCGGGAATGAACTGGCAGAGAGAGAGAGACCGACTGCTGACTGGTGGGGAGACTGTGCCTGCTCTGGAGAGCCCTGTGCTACAGGTAAATCTGACACATCTCACATCAACATGCTTTTATCATCTTTTTAAGTTTAATTAATGTGCTGGCTAGATTTACTTATTGTAGTCATTATGTCAACAAGGTTTAGCTTAATTAAATCATGGCCACGAATTAAGAACATCGTAATAATCAATAAAACTAGCAATCGGGAATTCATTATTATTTCTTAGCAGTTCTCACGTTGGCTACTTAAACTTCGCATCGTTTTAAGGTTATAAAATAAAACTTAATTGAAAATCGGTAGTTACTCACTCTGATTGCTGTCCATGTCGTCCATCTTTAGTGATCCAATTCGGTAGGTGGCGCTGTTACAAAAGAATAGGGTCCTAGAACTGCGGTCCTGAAACTGCAGCCTCCGGTTGTGCAGGAACATTCTATTGGACGGGGGGAGGGGTGGGGAGGCGGGGTTTGAAGCCGAATAAAATCACCAGCAGCAGTCAAGCCGACCCCGTCCTCTTCCTTCTCAAGTCATTGACTTTGTTACAGGTGTATTTATACGTGTGCGATTTCAAAGAAAACAAAGCAAGGTATGATTAATCAGGCACAAAAAAAGCAGCTAAACCTGATGACGTCTAATGAAGTGAGTAGGTCTGAATAGAGAAAAAAAAGTAAGATTTGTCTGATTCAACATGAATGGATGTGATGGAATCTCTCCACTTCTTTCTCTTTGAATTCTATCACACTGAAAATCACACTGTTCCACATTTACCATAATATACTTCAATGACAAATGATATTAAACGGTAGTGCCCAAAGCATAACAGTATAAGAATAATCTAAGAACAATCAATTATTTTGAATGAACATTTAATGAGCATTGTATGTCAACTCTGAACAAAGAGAGATTAGCTTCCGTCTTGAACATAATTCTTCTATTTGGCTAAATAATTTTATTATAAATCCGTTCTTAAGCCAGAGTCTGCCTGTCCACCATGATATGCAAAATTAACTGCTATGAAGTTATTAAATATTGAACTGGAAACACAAACACGTTTAAATTATGTATTTTGTCTATATACTCCATACAACCACTTCAGTTACAATTAAATGCTATAGTTTTTGACAAATGTCATCCTATTTCCATTTTTGAAGAACACTCCATACTGTAAATATGCAAGCCGCATATAACTCAATTTATCTATTTATTCCTTTAAACAGTTCATCATTTGTCCTCACTTCTGCTATTTAAGACTCAAAGTTATTAACAGACAAAATCGCTTTATGATCAAGAATCATCAGTGTTGAAGAAAACAAGACTTTTGAAACAATTTACTCAGTTTTATTTAAAAAAATCATTTGAGTAAGTCTGATTAGCTAAACCAAACAAGAAAAACAAATACAATAAACAATGTAAAGTATGCAATATAAACATATTTTCCAAGTGCACCCGAGCCGTTCACACAAAGTCATTGATATTGATTAAACTGGTTAGCTATTACTCTGTGAATCCCTTCTGATATTATTTAAGCAAGATACATGTGGCAGACCTGCGGTGAGCTTCTACATAGCAACTGTCTTAATTGGACTGAAGGACCAACTCCTACCGGTGCGGCACCGATCACTGTGGGCTGCTGCATAGTGACAACTTGTGGGTTAACTGCCATTGGAACTGGTTGCATCATGGGATTTCTTTGCACTACTTTGATTACTTTTTTGCGTGCTTTGATTTCTCTACTCATCTGACACCAAGAACACCAGATACAACAGCAAGACACCATGATGTCCTCACAGAGACTGCCCTGTTGCAACACATACAAACAAATGATTGTTTTGTGGCCCTCTTTCTTTTATCGGTAGAGGGACAGAAAAAAACTCACCCCAATTTGATATTTGTAGCGAACTGCCACCCTCATTGCCAGACCCACAGGCCGAACACAAACTCCAATTCCAAACGCAGCCATGAGAGCTGGGCCCAATATGTCCAGCAGAGGCAGACAGGTGCTCTCCCCAAACTCTCCAGTGGTGGTGCAGGTAAAGCAAGGAAAGCACCAGAACGCATAGCAGCCTGAGGAACAAAAATACACATAATGCGGTATCATTTGCATGTAATTCAGTAAAAATGGAAAGGCCTTTAAGTATACTTGAACTCACATCCTCGCAACAGTCACATATTCCTGAATTCCAAGCTTCTGTCCCAGCCTTGCCAAGAGGCTGCTGCACAACTACAGTTACCATAATGATTTGATCTTACTGATATGGAAAGATGACAGAAATGTTAAGGTTTCACGGATCCTGGTGATATGTTATTTGATATATGAAATTCTAATTTCATGCATATTCATTTCATGCAAATTCAAAAGCATGCATGCATTGCAGTCACGTGTTGCAACATTGTTTAGAATGAAACTTGTTCTAACGACCCTGTTTGGCAAGTTCAGTGTTGTACGACATTTGAGGAAATACTGTTATGTAGGTTGAAGTAATTCAGCTAATCATTAATTCAGTGATCATTTAAAGAATTTTTATTCCAAAGAATTTTAAATTCCAGCATTGAAAAATGCTGCAGAATTACAAAGAAAATTTAATTGTAATCCTACAAACAAAAAAGTGAAAATTGTTTATTTATAATTATTCCATATTTTATGTACATGTGTCTCTGTGTACATTCTTAAAATAAAACAAGTTCGTTCATTACACTTACAGATGATTTACTGTCTGCTGTGACTAATATATGGTTTTCATATTTCACCCATAATTCATGTTCAGAGTGCATACAATCATATCAATAGCATGACATCATTTTGTGTTCAAGTTTGCAAAGTAATTTACAAAAAGAACATTGACTAATTACCAGTGTACACAAATAGAATAAATAGAGCAATTAGCATCCGAGCAGTAGGCAAACATTTCAAAAGAGGACATTCTAAAAACAAGTTGTAAACCCCGGACGACCGCAATAATCGCATGCCAATGTGCATTGGCTCGTTTAGTTTACACTCAAAGTAGATTGGTCTCTCTAAGCGAGATCCCAATTCGTCGGTCATCCGACGTGACGTCTCCGTTTCCTCCTTCAGGGAATGAGAGTTACCATACGTAACCGAGACGTTTTACTGAACCATAGAAAATATGCAGCTAAACCTGAAAACATGTTCAGTAAAGTGAGTAAAGGGAAAAAGGCGTTGTGTTGTCTAATTTAACATGAATGGATGTGATGGAATCTCTCCTCCCCTCGCTCTTTACATTCTAAGAGAGACAGAAAATCAACAGTTTATGACACTGTTCTACATTCACTTTCATTTACTTCAAAGACAAATAATATTAAATGATAGGGCCCCATGTGTAAGAGTAAAAAAAAAACAATCCAAGATCAATAAATAATTTTTTCATTAACATTTTAAAAACATTGGATGTAAACTGGAGGCAGCTGAGTTTGTCAGCTGACATATGGATTTGTGAGATACCATATAACATGAAAAGCTTTTACTGTAATATCAACACAAAGAGCACAACATGTAATAAAATTATATACGTATATATACAGCAGATTAAAACAGACTGGAAAACAGATTGAGTTGGAAAGTGCTATTGCAGAGCATAATAAACATGATAAACTGTTGTTTCTCTGTTATATGTTGCTAACAAAGACAGAAATCCTAAAGGAGTAATTCATCCAAAAATGAAAATTTTACTCACCCTCAGGCCATCCAACATGTAGGTGACGTAACTTCCAACAGCATTGTTGGTGTTTCAGAATTTGTATATTATGATCAAATTTGATTCAGCTATAAAGCAGCTCATTCTTCATTATTCAGCTCAATTCAGCTACATTTTTGTTCTTATCTGATAGTGTCAGTGCCATTAAATAGATAATATCAACAATATTAATATTAATAATGTCTAGGTGACAGTGGCACCCAGGGAACCCAAACTCCATCAGGTGACAGAAATGGAGGAAAGAAAACGCATCCCCAAACACCCAACCCCCCCACCCCCCTCCCCCCCAACAGTTTTTTACCAAAATAATCACTAGATAAAGTCAATATACATTTTTGTTGTAGCTATGGACTATGTTGACAAGAGTGGTATAGAAGTATTCACCACGAAGTGTACAATGGTGATGTACCTGAGAGAAAACCGATTTTACAGTAAGTGATCTAATTTTCAGCAGTAAGAAACAAAGTGTTTTAAAGCTTATTGTTTTGTAGAAAATTACAGTTGTATATGATATGAGAATAGTAAGGCCTGAAGATAGGGAGCATGTGTTATTTAAGAAAAATTCTATTTTCAGAATTACTTTTTTTTTTTTTTTCAAACCTAGTCTGTGGGGTAAAATGCCACCAGGGGGCAATGGGCAATTACTGTAGTTACTCTGTTCTGAACATCAAATCCTTTGTTTTTCCATCAAATGTATTCTAACTAGTTGGTTGAATAAAAATATTTGGTCTTTATATTTAAAAATGACCTCAAGTTAGCATCAGGTAGCTAGTTAGCTAGCCAGTTAGCATCAGCTAACAATATTTTTCAAGGCTATTATATTATAATTCTTTTTATTTTTAAGCTAAAACTGCCTGCACTCTTATTTTGGTGTAAATGTATGAAGCAAATTGCTTTGACTAGGGGCAGCAGGACAGCAGACTACAATACAAACATATCTAACCACTAAGATCTTGCTTTAATTTAATTTTGGCAATTACAAAAATGCACCAATTTGTTTACCTGTCTCTCATAGAGAATTTCAGAGTAAGATTTACGCTTGAACTATTCTTTTTAAGAAAACAGTTGGCTACTTCTTATGAAACTATACTAGATTCCAGCCACAGGCAATTTGACTGTTTATACTGGCACGCTCACAAAAACAGTAGGCCTACAGTTTATGGAAAGCCATTTTAAAATTTAAGCTATAAGCCGTGCTAGTATATTTTCATGCTAGTATACGTAAACAGCGATGGGCGGAGCTACCCAGGCCTATCGTCCAATGAAAGAGTCTTTACAGTCGTGGGATCAAGGTTTGATTGGTTTGCCTCGGCATTTAACATCAACTGATGATTTAATTAAAAATATAAAGCGCAAAAATGGCATTATAATAGACATTTCATCAGTACACTTTTGGTTAAATACGACTGTGACAATTTTAACGTAATTATGACTTTTTAAAAATGTGTTTTATGTGTAACATTTTATTTTGGCATGCAGTTGAAATTTTATAGTTTAAGAATGATCTCACAATCTGACTATTTCTTATTTGAAACTTATCTGTCATGCTCTTACTTTGTACTAAGCGAAACAGGCTTTCATGCAAAAGAGGTTAAGAATTTTCTGTGCTGAATTGTGACATACCTTGATGCTATTTTTTGCAAGTATGTTGTTTTGCAAGTATGCTGTCACTTGGCAGTGTTTTTTTTTTCTTCTTTATTTTTTTGGCTTTTAGCATTTGTAGAAAATGTCCAGTAGGGGGGCACAAACCCCACAAAACATAGCTTACACGCGTTATAGTTGCTAAATGTGACAATGTCAACATTCACATAAACCTCAAAAGATAGCCTATTAAAAATATATTAAGAATGAAAGGTCAAATTAAAACAAAAAATCATGCTAATAAGGAATTATTTGTCATAAATATCTATAATAAAAGTTATATCCACTAATAATAATGTAATGAGAGAGTCATCAAAAGCAATTTACTGCATTAACAAAGTCACAAGAAAACAGGAAAATATAGACTACAGGAATTTTACTATACGTGTGCAAACACACCCTTCCAGAGACAGGAACAGGAAAGTGTCAAAGAAAATGATCAATAATTTATTGTGTAACAACACAAGTGAAAGATGAAAGATTTTCAGTCTTAAAATAAAGGCAATCATGAAAAAGCAAACATGCTGGGAAGCAATACACATTTCTTGCTTCATGCTTAAAGTAAAACTCAAAAAAAGAACATTTTTTTTCTATTCCATTTTGTAAGTGAGTATTCATTTCTGTGTTGTTTTAATAAGCTTTTTAAGACAAAAGCTCATACAAATGGTATGAAAAGTGGTATGTGTTTACCAATTATGTTGAGTACATTCACTACTGTCACAAAAACACTAACATCTGTCTAGATATGTCAAACACTAATTTCGCTGATCACACTAGTCATGGTATTGATGATGCTGATTAGAAACTGAGTAACTGACATTAAAGATACATAACAATACAGACGTTACATTTAGTAGAAAAAGAAAACTTTAAATGTCCTTGCGTTTCATCACAAATTACACCAGGGATTTACAGAAAATCTTCATTTTTACAATAAGCATCTAATATAAATGCAATATAAAAATTATTCAGTTCAATGAGATATATTCAGTTATAAGACATATTAATATATATATATTTGCCTTTCAGCGTGTCAGGATTTTCGTTATGATTCTTATCATTTACACACCACCATAGCTGCTTCAAAACGCATTACAAATTCCTGGCACCAACAAGAGTGATTTGTAGATCTCGTGCTTTCATCTCTCGTGACATCTGACACCAAACACAAGCTTTGCAAAATGTGGCCACCAAGCAGTCATGACACATGTCACCCTGCAAATCAACACAAAAATATATTGGCTATACTATACATCGACCTTCTCATTTTAGTCACATTTAAAACATGTATGACATATTACCTACATTACCCAAAAGCTATAGGAAAAATATGATGATACTGCTATCTTAGTTTGAAATTTGCTGTATAATTCTAAATGAAGACACGTTTGAATATGTTTATTAAAATCACTGCTTGAGGGAATAGGCCTAAACATTTGTGTAGGCTAATTTCACTTTTGGCTTAAACCTTGTAGTTATACAGTAGCCTACATGTGACAACAAGCGCCGTTCACCCCTAAAAGTGAAGTAAATTCTATTTTTGATTAATGATTCTTACCTTAATGCCATAACGCTGGCGCATTGAGACCCTTATGGACATGGTTATGGGTGGGACGATGCCACATAAATCCAGCAGGGGGAGACATAAACATTCACCGTATTTCTTTGCTTTGATACACGCGAAACACGCGAAACACCAGTAAGCAAAGCAACCTGTTCACAGAGAGGGACGCAATAATAATATTTATTATAATGCTTTACAGGGCTTTATGACACAATCTACACTGTTAATTGCTGCAGTAGTCTGGATGTTAAAGATGTGAGCAGGTAAGACAAAGCATAGGCCATAAATTCAAATCAGCCAGGGGTGAACTGCAGGACGCTTCAGGGGAACTGTCTCTGGCTCTGATCTATGACAGCACTGAGTAGCAAATATCTTTTGAGTTTCACAGAAGAAAGTAAGTCATACAGGTTTGGAATGGCATGAGGGTGAGTAAATTTTTTTTTTTTCTTCCTCACTTGTATTTTTCATGTTATACAAACTTTACTTACATTCTGGAACGTCATTGCAACAGTCACAGATGCCTGACCCCCACTGATCAGAATCTCTGGAGACCATAACAGGCTGTGGCTGCATGACTACCATTGACTTCGACATGTTTACACCTACGTACAACAGAGAATATGATTTCAGCATCACAAACATTCCAATGATTTCTTCTATATACACTACCATATATACTACTGCTTAATATTTTTGTTGAAACCATGATATATTTTTCAAAAGGTTTGAAATAGACATATTTTGTGACAATATAAATGTTTTTACTATCACTTTTGATCAATTTAATGTCCACGCTGCATAAAAAAAAAAGGTTTGCCAAACGTTACCCCAAATATTTCAATGGTAGTGTAACAACAATTTCCACAAAAATATTAAGCAGCATTTTTTTTTTCAATATTGAAAATAAGAAATGTTTCTTGAGCAGCAAATCAGCATAATAAAATGATTTCTGAAGGATAATGTGACACTGAAGGCTGGAGTACTAGGAGATCTGGCTGCTGAAATTTAAGCTTTGCATCACAGGAAACAAATTATGCTTTAAAATATATAAAAATAGAAAATGCATTATTCTGAAGTTCTAAATTGTAATAATATTTCACAATATTACTGTTTTCACTGTATTTTTAATCAAATAAATGCAACCTTGTTGAGCATGAGACTTTTTATTCCAAAGTTTTGACTGGCAGCATATACATTAAATTTAAATAAAAATTATGATATATATTAAATATCATATGATTAATTTAATACTTATATATTTGATTATTACATTTTTTTTAAGTTGTTTTCTTCATATAAAAGATTGCATACAGCTTAAAGTGTTTACAGCTTTATATGGCATTCAGAACTCACAAGTGTCACAGTAACACTTGTGACTATTCAATTCAACTAAAACTATTCAAGTCCTAATACAAAAGGCTAAATAATCATCTTAAACATACAGATAAGAATAATGAAAATATCTTCTGATCCTGATATCTGTGTAGGAAATCTTCACTCACCTCTGTGTTGACTGGTCCAACGTACTGCAAAGTATCTGCTGTTTCTAAATCTGTGATCACAATCTTGCATTTATACTGAGTGCAAGACCATGTCAACTGAAAAAAGATCATCACATTGGCTCTAAAGCAAACCTCCTTAACCTGTTAGACAAGTTCACAGCAGCATCTTTCAAGCATTACACTTAAAGCTCACAAAACAGGGTGGAGAACAAGACTGCATTGCTCCATGCATATGAAGAATCCAGACATGCTTAATGTATGAAAATATAAGTATTCATGTAACTGATGACATGAATGCATACACTCTCAGAAAAAAAGGTATGTCACTGGGGCGGTACCTTTTCAAAAGCATATTAGTACCAAATTGTTAGTACCTTATTATTAGTAGCTTAAAGGTACATATTTGTACCTAAATACATATTAGTACTTAGAAAGAAACATACTAGTAATTAATATGAATACATATTAAATCACAATCCCCACTGACAGCTTTTGTACCAGAGCAATTGCAAATCATTCGAATCCGCATAATAACAAATGGTTATAATGTTAAATTCAAAAGCTGTAATTGTGAGAAAATAGCCAAGCTACATTTCACAAAATCAGAAGACTTCTTCACTGAGATTTACATTCAGAGTTTTTGTCAGATGAAAGCTGTTAGATTTTTTTAGAAGGGCTTCTGAACGTTCTCTGCTGAGGTAAAGAAATCCTGTTAGCAGTAGCATCCATTAAACATTTCCAATAAGTGCCTCTCACTCATGAAAAATGCAATATATTAAGGACGGACCTGGTAACATGCTGAAACTCATATCTTGACATCATGCAGAAATATTAAAATGATGATGAGTCATTGCACAACTTTGACAGAGGCTTTTGTGTTCAGTGTTTTAACAGTTGCCACAGAATCATACAGAAATATCTGAAGCATTTTGCAGGTTACGCAAGTTCACATGGACATTTGCCAAGGTAGGTCAACTAATAAGTCCCACCTTTCTTCCTTATCAGTTTGGTTTCTATCCTCTTCTCTTCCTATTGTCATTTTCATTCTGACTCATGTGACACAGCATCTTTAGTTGTTTCACTTTATGTATTTACTGAAAGCATGACTTAAAGATGCACAGGATGAGCTGTGTCCCCTTCAGTAATCTCAGAGACAGATTGTGATTGAAGATGAGAAGAGTTACAACTTTCTCTACGGATTTATTAGTTTGGTTCCAGGATTAAAGTCAGTAAATTGTAAACTGGAGTACAGCTGGGCAGTATACAAGAGTCATGTAGGATTGGGATATCCCTGAGTCACGAAATCCTCTTCCTGTCTCCGTTGAAACGTTTGACAGAGTCAACATTTCTAGCCTGAATTTGAATTTGGAACCAGTCACGAAGCATCCTAATGTGTTTTTCCTCATACAATTCCAACATTACACAAAACAAAAAGTAGGCCTTTCAAACAATAGATCCAAATAGAATCAAATGTCCCCACAGGGACATACTGTGTGTGTGTGTGTGTAGAGTGTATTGTGCATAGTACAGTATGTGCTTTGCGTGTACATATTATAATTACAGAAAATTATGCATAATACAAGCAACTAACCAACCAAACCCTAACCATAGAGTAAGTACTCGTTAATTAATATTACTGTGTTTGCATATTTTTGTAATTACACTGTGACAAGAACATCTTAAAATGTAACCATATACACACTATTCCTACATTCATAAAATAGACGGAAGACAGATAGATAGATACTAAATCAACATATTATAATCATACTATATAACTATCCCAACTTCATTATTTATTTATTTTTGCTTGCTGTTTTATAGCTACCTTATTTAAAATTTAAAGAGATTTGATTCTTAAATGATTCTTATTAATTCCAGACTAGTTGCATAATTCAATCAAAATCCTGCAGACATTTCTTTTGGAATTTTGATTAGGGATTAAATGGAATTAGAAGGGCAGTAAATATTTTCTCGTGGTCGTGTTTAGTCGCAAAAACATCAAAAAGTCATTCAAGGAGCGTGAGTGAATGACTAATGTGATACTCTGCGAGAGGAGCTTTACGCCATCCGGTCCACTGCATCCTTTGACTGGAAGACACACAGAACTCGAAGACGGTCATTACCGACGGATGCTGGTCAAGAGCGGTTGAATTCTGCAGTTTTCCGCCTGAATAACGAAGTGGAATGAAACAGGAGCCCACTGCAGAGACAACGACAAACTGCTAACACTGAGCAAACTGATCCACCGACCAACATACACACTGAAAATAACTGTTATATCCTCGCTACGTCCGTTTCGTCGTCCGCTACACTTCTGGATGCTGTACTGCTGCGGTGGAAGAGAGAAGGGGGAGCAGGAGCACACGGGCGCGGAGGAGGCGTTGATGAACTGCGGGGAAGCGGACACCGTCACCGCTGGAAACCGGGAAGAAACTCCAGCTGCAGGGATGTTTGACACAACGGATATGCCTGAGCTCCTGCCGCCCTCGGGGCAACTTCAACCGAGTCCTCGTGACTCGGTGTGTCAGATGCAGCATTTGATGGTTGAGAGAGATTGCTTGAGCCCTGAATCCCCTCAACGGAGGTTAGGCCAGAGGGCCCCCAAACTCGGACAAATTGGACGGTCAAAGAGAGGTAAGTAATATTTTTCTAATTTTGTATGGTAAATAACTGATTTAAAACCTGCATGCTTGTAGAAATATCAGCCGTTTTTAACTGTTTTAACTGTGGACAAAACATGGACAAAACATACTCAGTAATGTTTTCCCGTTTCATTTATTTGGATAATTTATGATTTTTCATCCCATTTTGCTTTTTTTTTGGTTAAGTACACACACAAA